GCTATATATCTAGCTACGTAGGTAAGCAAATGTAATCTAGAACTCTCTTTAGACGTCCACTAGCTTCTATCTTCAAATCATACAAGATTTACTCAAGTAATACTAAGTAGATGAGAAGTCACAAAAACTACTTTGTAAGCAACCTTTCCACAGCAGAAGACCCTGAACACAAGATTGGCTACCCCAACAGTACAAAGGGGTCAGTCACACTACTCCCAAAGAGCCCAAGATTACTCGACATAATTCCATAAAACGTGGGGCTCACCGACTCATCACTAGCCACACTACACAGCACTACTACTCGACGCACGGAAATTACCGGATCGTTGGAGAACTATCCCAGAACGTACTGGTGGCTCGCATAATCAAGTCGTGCATGTGTAACTTTGATCGCGTGGGAGGAAATTAAAGGGGGGCTTAGCTTGTGGTTAGTGTTTAACAAGGGGTCGTATGTGTGATATATTACGCAGAAGTGAGGAAATCTGAGGTAGTGATGGCATTTTCCGTTCGTTTCGTTTTCTCGTTGTATTTTATTCGAATTGAATAGAGGTTTAAGTTACATAAGATCGAACGTCTACTTGGTTGATCCCTCATGGTTATATTTGCATGGTCCCAGCTACTCTTTGTCTGACTATTCAGGCTGTGTAGAAGATATGAGGCTTTAACATGGCTAACCACACAAGACAGGAAGTTTGGGACCCTCTATACAATACCGTCATCCAAGTTTCCAAGTTTTGTTATTCAGCAACACAGGCTGCCACACTTCTACTCGCAAACCATGCAGCACTATTCGTCGAAATGATCTACCGTAAGAATACGAATGCCTCTAGTGCACAAAGCTCGTATGAGTGCTCTGAAGTTAGAAATACCTGATTCCAGACCACCAATAGTATGAATAATCATTATGGCTATATGCCTAACGGCTAATCATCACAAAGAAAAATTTGTAAGATAGAGAATCAAGGAGTGGTATGTTCACTTAATCAATGAAGGTATGCTTGAGATAAACATCAGTAGGTTGCGAAAGAGGGTGTGGTTGAAGACGGCATTGATATTTTGATATTAAAGCACTTTTGAACTCAATTTCCGATCCAAAGGACATTCGTATACATGCCTCCCCAGCAGTAAAATAGATGAAACTCCCATGCTTTAAGACTAGACCATTGATTCCTCAATAACCGAACAAGTAACTATATTCCCATGATTATCGTAACAATTCATCCCGGCGCCCCTCGCATTCATGCCTGCCATGAACTCCATCCTATCGTAACAAAAAGAACTCATAACATCATATCTTCATGTGCGGTCTGCCAATATAGCCGCGTCTCGTACAGTTGTACTCCGGGCGACTAAAGATCTCTAACTGGATCGTATGGCTTAGTCTGTCCACTCTCTCGCGTGATCGGCGATGACGTATACGATACGTACGACGAAGATGGTGTATAGGATTGACTCGATGAGTAGGTGGCGTAGCCACTAGCAGATGAGCTAGGCTCTGAAAAGATACGTTAGTACTCTAGGCAGTGGAGAAGCGGGGAGGGTACACACCAGTGGAAGAATAATCGTATCCCTGACTGTCTCCTGTCGGTAGTTAGAATAGAGCGCCAAAACCATGGTTTAGCTCATTGACTAGTGGCAAACTGCTGCACAAAGGGTCTTTTATGCGAGATATATGGCGCGCATACGTTCCACACAGACGTCATTTCTTTGCTTCCAACTTGTGTGGATAACTTTGGTGGATAGAAGCCATCATACATACCTGTATTCATGGACGCACTTGAATAGTACGAAGAGTGGCTGTATTGCTCATCTACCTGTACATGTCTATGGTGTGAAGGGTAAGAATGGTGCGAATGGTGGTAATTGTTGTGATGGTGATGCGAAGGGGGTTTCGGATTGTATGGCGCAGTATCCCTACTATCGGCCCTGATATTTCTGTTCCTACCATCTCGATAGCGAAATTTGTGATATAAGAACCATCTTGCGATCCAGTTTGGGCAGTCGACAGTCGGCTTGGCTAAGTTCCAGTAATATGCAGTCTGATCAGTACCATTTTGGACTATCAGTTTCATTGCTTCATCCTTTGATATTTCGACAATATCGCTCCAATCGTATGGAGGTTTCCCTTTGCAGTTCTTCTTGAGGTGGCATTTCTCCGAAATAAGCCACCTATAGACCACATCTGTCTCTTTCTGAAATAGTGGCCAAGATAAGTAAGCACTCTATTGATTAAACTTCTCAATTTGGCAATGATAAAGTCGAGTCAACGGGGGTAGTTTGGTTGAAATGAATGCTTACCGCCATCAGGGTATACGTCTCCGCACTAATGTTTAGATGCTTGACGAGGTCATCTTTTGTTTGACTCATTGCCAAAGGGCCCAGATCAGGTGAAGACATGATGGGGCTTGTCGAGTTTCCGCTTTTTGAAGACTGGACGTGCAGTATGGATGGAGAGAATTACAATACTCATAGCGAACTTACGGGACCATTGTAGAATTATTTAGGTAGCCGCGTTGCTTGCAGGGCTTTACGTATAAAAGGGTGGCAAGTTATGGGTTTACAAGATTCGAAAGATAGGCCAGTGCCAACTTCGGGTCTGTGAAGCCCGCATCTCTCAATGCATATCATCGGCGTCTAGTTGCAGTAACATCTGGCGCAAGTAGAAAGTATTGCATATGGCAGGGGTGACAAACATTGGTTCAATTTGGTTGGGACCAAGTGATGGCAGCAGTATTTTCCTCACCAATGATTCTATGGTAAAAAAGACTGAATCCTAGTCAAGTAATGTACGGGGATTGACCGGAAGTGTGTGCCGGCCATCTGCAAGTTCGGGGCAACTGATGTCGGAGAGACTCCCGACGCCGAAACCACCCGCTTAACTCGGATTACCCCAAGGAATGCTCAGTTGCACAGAAGACCCTGCGGAGCCGTGTTGATAACTCTGCAAAAAAACAACTTAAATGTCACTACGCGCGGCACATTCATGAGTCAATGGGTGACGCAGAGATTCTACATACCTATATTTGCACCACCTTAAAATATGGGTTCATTCACGGGGAAAACCAGCATGCACACCCCCGTGAAAGGAGATTCTTATAAATATCGAGATTCCGCACCTGATCCCTGCTGCAATAACTGTTTTGATGTCTAACGGCAGGTGTTATCATTTTGGACAATGCTTTGTAAGACGATCAGTGGAACCAGCCATGCTTGGCTTGAGATAATAATCTGGTTCTGCTAAAAAGTTGACGGCAAGAAGTCTATGCCGGTACTGCTCCGAGTCTCATGCTCCCTATGAAATAATGAGTAGGTTTTACTACTGGACTCGTGTAGATATACACTAAATAAATTTTGCTATTAACTGTAATTTAGGAGCTTCCACTCACCATCCTAGATATACTACGTTTCACATATCTCATTCTATCCAATCGTTCGAGATATATCTGCAATCAATTAGTGGATCTGATATCCTGAATAGATTACCTTGGTCCAGACTCCAGAGGGGCACATTATCCGATTTGTAGCAATTCAAAATGTAACCTCATACCTGATGTAGTCAGCAAATACATTGTTATCAATCTGCTGTTGATCACGTAATCATTACACCCCTTCATCTAGCGAAGGTGGTATAACTGATATCAAAGGCTTGTCGGCGTGCTGGCTTGTGCCGCCGTAGATTATAGATTGATCCGGCCTACATAGCTTACACGAACTGGATAGCGTGCAGATGGATATATCACTCATCAAAGATGTTACCCCAAACCCAGCGTTATGGTATGTATTCGCACACATTAGCCGTGCCATTCTTCAATTTATTGACAACTCACCTTCAGACAGTAGTACAGGAACGGCGGAAGAGCTCGCATTAAGTCCGGTTGACCTGCAAGTCTTGACGTAAGTTTGGATACGTGAAGGGGTGTAAATGATTCCGTTCCATTGCAGTGACACCTTTCCATCACATTCTGTTGTAAATCGTGGTGAAACAAATTTCCCTCTCTTGGTAGTGGCTGGATATTGAGCCATAGAGTTAAGAGAAGTCAGAATGGATATTTAATACATTTGCATATTATGACGTATTTTGTACTCAACGCCAGTATGCTTGAATGTAACCAGCCAAATGATGAAATGGCTGGCTTCCTTTCTAACACACGCCGGCGTTGTGATTAGAGAAAGCTTGTACTCACCAGCTTCCACTGATTGGTAGATATATAGTACAGCATTGGGGATGTATTTCATTTCACGATACATCACGTTACTCGAGGTAGGATTCTAGAATTCCAAATGCTAGAATGTGGAATGTGGAATGTGGAATGTGGAATGCTAGAATCTTTTATACTTACTTTACCAAGACCTTTCACATTAGACGGTTGTTGTCTGCATCTATACATCGAATATCAGACGCGACCTCTTTCATTATTAATAAAGCGATACATATCTATTTATAACAGTTACCGGTACTTCAATTCACAGTCCAGGGAAGTATTCCGTAGATAAAGAGCCCTATCCCCCACCACGGCCAAGAATGATGCGCTGATCTACCTAGCTAGTAGTCTCGAGCCAGTCCATGCCACCAGTGCCTCTTCAACCCACTTTTTGCTCATATAACAATCATCGAAATGTACCGACGACCTATGAAGGACAATTGATTTATCATAATCATTCCTAGACTTTCCAGAGAAGTGGACTCATAAAGAACCGCATGATACACAGAGTAGAGAAATCCTTATTAGTATTGACTACTTACCTGGTGATTTGAGTGACTAGCGTTTCTTGTGGCTCTTTCATCGTTCCACTCATGAAGCTCGCATTACCAACAACACCCCACTTCACCTGGTCGTGCTACCCCTCCACGCTCGCCGCCAGACATGCTCTCCAAGCTATTTATTTTGCTCTGTACGGTTTCTATGATTGATTGTCAATGCGAAATATATAGGTACCATCGCGTTCAAGCAAGCAGTAAAACTTCGGGCCAGGTCGATTGTGTACCATAGTCAAAAGATATGGTTTCTACGATTGTGCATTTGCCAAATGGCTACCATATAACAGTCAACCCTGTCTTTGGAGGCTTCTTTTTTAAGGCTAATGAGTTGAACACACATAGCAGCATCTTCCCTGCTGGCTGGACTGTCATTATCCAGACCGAGGATTATTCGGACGAACATCCCTTAAACAGCGATTCTGAAGTTACAGAGCTTCAAGATGCGCCAGCCGAACGACATTCACACATACATCCTTTCAGACTTCCAACTTTACGCAATGATAGCCTCTTTATTTCTTCCATTTCAAACCCCTCGAGCAATGATTTCAGAGCTCCCATCAGCCCCACTCGGCAGATCGCGATGATGCTCTGGGCAACATTATACTGGTATTTCCATCAACCAGAACCGTCCCCTTATGTCACCACAGCCGCTTCCAAAAATACACCTGATGCCGGAAAGCCAAAGGCAGATTGGCGCATACATATTAGGAGAGAGGGTGTGCTGCGGGGTCGCAACTTAATACAAAAGCTTGAAAGAATGGGGTTAATTACATCGGATGATTCATCAGTTGGCCTCGCGATAGAGGAGAATACACCCGAGGGATGGTCAAACATGTTCACTTCAAGAAGAGCATTTTGGCAGCTGTCGGCACGGCTGTTCCTTTTTACTTTCAGCCCGAATCTATCTCTAGCTTCTCCGCAGAGCAGCCGACCGGGCTCACCCATCCGTGATACAACAAGCAACCAGTCTCCCGCCAATAAGAGAGATTCCACTGAATCATTTACTTCTTCAGGGCTATGGTCACCAGCTTCCATTGGTCCTTTCTCATCTGGAAGCCATTTGCCGACATATTATCCACCACCTCCCACACAATATACGAACACGTCAGGTGTGCGCCATCCCCTACGCCCCAAGCCACCCCGCCAAGGTGAGACATTTTATACACGTTACATCCCTAGTGTAGGGCAATACTTGTCTTTTCGAGTTGCTTCCTTATCCCCCAAGCCTGTGGTGTATAACGGTCCAGGTTCAAGCTTATCGCCCTTCCAAGACCATGCCAAAAGCACGTCGATCCCCTCTATTGGGGCATGCTTGTCCGCAGATTTGCAATCCGCACACTCTCGCGCTATTGCACATCAAAGCGACAATACAACTGAAATGACAGATCTCCAGCTTTTAAACCGTTGGATGAATATCCCTCGGGTTGATAGATTTTGGGGCTGCTCTGGCCCAATCGCTACACAAGAAGAATTTCTCAAAGCCAATTTGACATCTAATCATGCATTCCCCGTCATTGGTCTCTGGGATGGAAAGCCTTTTGGGTACTTTGAATTATATTGGGCAAAAGAAGATATCCTTGGGAAACATGTAGGTGATAGCGTAGGAGACTTCGATCGTGGTGTTCATGTTCTGGTTGGTGAACCTGAATATCGGGGAAAGCATAGAGTGCAATGCTGGATCACTGCTTTGGCGCACTGGGCTCTAGTACAAGATTACAGGACTAATTCCTTTGTGCTTGAGCCACGGGTGGACAACGAGAGGTATTTTTCGATTTTTCTAGCTTCTCTTGCTTTCATCACCGCCCTTCTTTCTAACTTACCACAGGTTTATCTCACATTTGCAAGAGGCTGGCTTCGTCAAAGAGCGAGAAATCACCTTTCCTCACAAGCAGTCTGCATTCATGAAGCTGCGAAGAGAATGTTTCGAAGCGCCTGCATTGTGATTGTTTCAATACTCAATGCAACCTCGACACATCAAAGAGAATAAAATGTTTTTGCTCACAGGTAAACAATTACCGTGCTGAAATGATGGCGAAAGTTGCACAAACGCCAACTTTCTTGCGATGGGAATCCCATGAAAGTTTTCACGCCAGTAAGTCGCTGCTCGAATGGACCACAGGTCCACAGCACACTTGAGTGGTAATGGTACCGCACAAACCGGGCATGCCTCTATCTTGCTCATCTATCCACAATTATTACTCCACTCAATCATTTATTGTGCGGAGTTTCATGGACAATTGACAAGCAATACGTGCCGCCTTCAACTTACTTTGAAATGCACCATCCACACCCACCAAATGGAATATGTGGGGAATTTGAAGCAACGAGACTCCTTGAATTTATGTTCAGTTATGCTAAGGCATGATCGATATTGTGGGGAATCATATCCGATGTATGTATGTGCATCAAAAATAGCCAGTCTGAACTACAATAGTTACCAAGAATAGAAGCATTTTGAAACTCGGCTATAATTTTGCTGATGTTTGAGGCGAGTTTTACCCGTCTTGGTTCGAGCCCCTTCAAAACCGAAAAAGGCTTTGTGAGCGACTGCATGGCATTTTGGGGGGAGGAACAATCATGCAATACCTACAAACGCAACTGCGGGGTGCAGAAGCTGATACACGTCTGATATCAAGTGCATCCCCTTTCTACTATGTACAGATTCGCTGCCAATCGTATCCCAGGCCTAGTCTTTTTGTTAAAGCTTGACCCTACCTGATACTTGTCACGATGTTTAAGACGGTTGACGACACCAGATTCAGAAAAGATGGTTGTTAGCTTCTTGGGTCAATCTCAGCATTCAACATTCCCGACAATATTCGGCTATAGTTCCCATGGAAAATTTGCGCAAGTTTCAATTTTGTATAGTAGACTGAACAATTTTGGACTCGGAAATCGGTGAATGGGCTAAACTACCATGTCGAGTCTGTATCGGTCTTGCCGATTATTGGGTGCATCGAAATACTGTGGCTTCTCACTACCTGTACAATGCCTTTCTCAGCAGCTAGATTCAACAACCTCTCACTGCTCCCCTTCCCTTGTCTTCCCGGACTGCATTTTGCATATGCAAAACGAAAAGGATGTATGCTGGTGGCAAAGAATCTGAAGCAATGTAAGAAGGAATAGGACATTCCTCCGTAAAAATAGATCTCGCCTTTCCATACCTCTTCAAACGTCCCAGCAAGAACGATACCATAAGGAGGGTGTCACTGCGACGCCACACAAATGCATGAAAATTAAAAGATGCTTAGAGAGTACACTTGTACAACGTTTCACCTAGCCTTCAGACGGAAACGGAACGACGGAAAAGCTCCACAAAGCGCAATCTGATACGGAGTCGGTCTACCGGTCGATCTTGATTGCATTAATTGAGCTATCACAAGTGATATCATAGAAAATGAAAATACCTGTATTTTGTCTCCTTGGGTACAACGTGGTTGTCAAGGCTATTAGCACCATTTTTTGTGCAGCTATGCAGTCATGGTTTTAGAGTCCGTGGGAAAATCATCATGCTGGAGGTTTTGCAGAATCATTTGTGCACGGCAAGAGTGCTTTGTTAGGTTTTATACAAAGGTGTATGTTTTACTGGTTTCAATGTATGATCATATGATATAATTTGAAATTCTTGGGGGCGGGTTCCACGAGGACTGTCTAGGGGGAGTTCACCCTGCCAACGACCTCTCCGACCTCTTCTATCAACAACAACAACAAATGAAAAATATGTATGTATATGTGAAATGTAAAAAAGAAGATGATGATCATTAGCTTTTAATAATTTGAAGTTTATTTGAAGGTTTATTGTATATTAAAATTGAAAAGGACAATCAAATTATCGACGGTCTTCTAAGAGGTATGGAAAAAGCTGATCAGATTACGTCCTTTTTTTTTTCTTTCTTTCCCTTCTCTCTCCTCCCTTACAGAATGGATGACCTGGCTTGTTTGTCTGCGGATGGATTTGATATTGATAGAGCTGAATTTTGATGGCTGTGGACTATATCTGATTTGATAAGATTACTAGGTAAGTGAGACTGAAAATGCCACTTGAAGAATAGAATTATGACAAAAACGGCGTTTAAACAGGTTTAACCGTTCCGCTGGTCAAAGCGTTCCTTTTGGGGTGAACCCCAATCGATAGGTACTGGCTGGCTCGAGACTGGCTGACTGGGTAGTGCAGAGTAGTAAAAGTAGTACAGAACAGAGTCGCTACCATACGGTCCATCCATACCAGAAATACCGGTAGAGACCCTCAAACCTTAAGAATGTGTGAACCCTTCTAATTCCATAATATAAGGAGAATCTTTGATATAAACCTTAATTGGTCTCAACCGACATGTACATCACACACCACAATATTCGATATTATTAGAACTGCTTGTCTTCTTTTTCTGTTTCAGGATCTCGAGGAGAGTAAGTAATAATGGATGTGGGATGTTTGAAAAAGTCTTTCGATAATATTGACTGACGGCTTTGATGAGGTACCTGGGGCTAACAAATTGCGAAATCCAACTGACTCTTCCTATATGAATGTATCTTTTCCAAGTTTGTGCATGTACTACCTACGTACCTCTGTCCTCGTGTACTGCGCGTATGTACAAAGTCTTGGATATCGACCGTAGCCACTGTACCATCTGACAGATTGGGACGACCCTCGCTTGACCCTCTCGTCCCTCTCCTATACAATAAGACGTCGATTGGGTCTTCGGAGAAATGTGGGAAATTCCGTGTTCTCGTGATAAATGTTAAAGGAGTACTCCGTCAGGGTGGAAATTGGGGAAAAACCTCCCGACGTCGCTTGACTGATTTTGCGACTTAGTCATGGAATTCGTCGACCAATATGATGATGATAACCACATTAATGATGCGGTTGAGTTTTCCGCCAGAGTGTGAATTGTGGGTAACATGCATGACAGGTAATTTCATATGATTGCGATTGGTGTGAACCCAGGAAAAGTCGGTGGTATCGGCCTCCGCGTTCGCCGACATTGAATAGCTTCCACGCTAAATTCGCCAGAATCATGCAAAGGCCACTCTCTAACCATACTTGACGATCGCATTTTAAAAATCTGGAAATGAGAGGAATGATTCATGCTATCAGTTTCGATTTTGCTAGGAGCGATCATGATTCTAGCTGATATATTGGATGATCGACTATGGATACCTCCCTGCTTTCTTCAATCTCTAAACCTTACTTGGCGAGTCCACCTAGGGACGGCCAGAGTCCACCCCCGAGTCGGAATCTCTTGGGATAATGACCGGTGGCGTACGTGAGCTGTGAGCTGCTGCTGCTACTACTAGTTGTAGGGCGGGGTCATGCATGCTCTCAACTTCAAGTGAAAAGGCTTGGTTCCCCCAACATTTGCAGAACTCTCCTCATACACTCTTGAATATTCTATATAACTACATAACTACCCATCTTGACATCTTCCATACCACATTCGATTGTTGACATAGTAGCACAATCCCTCAACTCAAGTTATACATCACCCCGCCTTACAACTCTTGTGATTAGCAGTCACACATACATCATAGGACCAGAGATCTAGTCCCCGCACACAAGCTTCGCTCTGACCATGAAGATGAATACATTGTCACAAAGATTTTCCCGATTCCGCTCAGATATGATGCAAGATTTGAAGACAAAGCACATTGAAATGGCACCCCCGTCACCTCCATACATCGACGAATTCGAGTATCAAGTGGAAAGTCTTGGTAACGTGCCACAGGCACCACCATCTCCGGCATTATCATTTGAGGAATTATCCCCAAAGAATGACCGCGTAGTCAGAAATGACAGATCAAACACTGCCGCAACCACATTTACCTGTTTTGGAGCTCTTCCTACCGAGATCAGACTGTTGATCTGGGGCATGGCATGTAAACAACAACGGAGGGTCGATGTCGAATTCGATGGAAAGTTGAACCACTTGCATCAATTTGGTCCCGCTATCTTCAAGTCAAATACACCTGCACCAGATGTCCTCTACGCATGCAAAGAATCAAGAGAGGAGGCTTTAAAACATTACTCTCTCTGCTTTCGACAGGATATTTACGAATCCGAGAAAAGGCAAGCAAAGATATGGTGCAATTTTGACACCGATATAATACGATTAACCCCTGATGGGTGGGGTCGAAGGGTTCACGATGGCTTTTTAAGACAACTAGCCACGACGAACGGCATTTCTCGCGCATTTAATATTTGCAACTTCAGTAACTACAATCCTGGCTGTTTAGTCCAAGACGAAACCGCAGCATTCAGCTGGACCAACATTTTCGACGCCATTGATTCTCACATATATCTTGGCTATGAGTTACAGGACATCGTTTTATACTACGATGCGGAGGATAGATCAGAGCAAGCTTCAGAGCAAGCTGACAGGTCGGAGTTCGTGGAGGTAGACTGGACTGCAATGGATCCAGAGTCTCAAAAGACGAAGATGCTGCAGTGTGCGCAGAGAGATTTATTAAAGAAAATGCCCAGCTACTGTCCGCCTTGGGAGCATCGCTCGTTTACAGAAACTGAAGATGACTCCGTACCCAGGGGGAACGCAGTGTGGGAACTTCTCCAGTCAAAGGTCAAATTGATGGAGCTTAAAGTCAATCATTGATAGACTATTTTTACGGCCATCTTCAAAAGGGAGGGGTTTCACCACTAAGAAAAGATTTTTCGGAACTTGTATTTACTTATGAGAAGTCATGTATCTCCAACAAAACATCTATAGCTATTTAATATTATAACATCTTTTCAACTCCCTACAAATGTTTATTCTGCTGCCTGTCACTTGATATAAATCCAATGACCGATTTGATTGCTTTTTTGTTACAGACAGATGTATCGTCAGGAGAGATTGCTACGATCTCTTTCGTAGGTGGCGATCTCTTCATACTTTAGTGCTTATCATATTCTAGCACCCGTACCTGCGTACCTCCCGGTAGATTTAAAGGGTATGAGACACAGCCGCATTACGTCATTCACGACAGGGATCAAGCATTCGAGCTCTCAACTTTTAGAATTTCCAAGGTCCATGTAAGCTTGTAATGACAACTAGGCAAACGGACAACGGATAGGCACTAGGGAAATGGGCATTTCGATCACATTTGTCCATTACCGTAAGCTCACTCTCTCGCCATCGAGATAGAGGTCAAAGGGCTCGCGAACATGCGACGAGCGACACATCTTTTACCGTGGAGTATATCCCAAACGACGTACCGACCGGCCTCATTTGTAGGTTCTTTTCGAGATGGAGCCGCATCACAGCTTTTTATCAAACAGAGCCGGTCCTCATGTCTTCGCACATTCACTTCGACGAATATATGGAGAGAAGAGAAGAGCCACACACAAAAGGCCAAGGAATTGAGTCAAAAGGGACTGGACAAGGAAGAAGATTGGTTCAACAATCAACTCGATAATGCAATCGGTCAGCAGAAGGAAATACAAGCACGAACACCATGGCATAGAGAAGGTGCCGATCAACCACCTGTGAAGAGGAATAGGAGTGCTGGGGCTATGACAAAAGGTTTGATATATTCATTCTTTTGCTTTTGCGAGGAACTCGTCTAATAGTCATAATACAGGCAAACTTCTTACTACCCCTTCTCGACTTTTGAAGCTCATTTTACCTTTGACTACGCGGGATAAGAACTCTGATCGGAAAGATATTGAGCCATTGGCTCTTCTCGTCCATCCTCAGCAACCTCTCTCCTATTTGGAACGACTTATACAATCCGAATTGCCCATGATAACTGCGAAAGATGGACATACTGAAAAAGTACCCGAAGTGTATTTCCGTGCTGAAGATTCCGCACAAGGTGAGATTAAAGCAGATTCTAGAAGAGATGACATGGATGGAGAAGCAGAAGAGGGAACAGACGAACAGATGGTCGATGGAAAGATTATGAAACTTGGGAAAATCAACAGTTCGAAAGACAAAAATATATCTAGCGAAGAGAAGAAACAAATACAAAGTGAATTAAGGGGAGGTCCTGGCGAGGGAGGTGTAGAAAGTTATTCGGGACGTGGACGCGAACAATCTTCTGAAGGAGAAGTGAAATTTGTTCGCTGGTCTTCATCGACTGAGATCGGAGATTTCATCCGTGATGCTGCGCGGGGCAAGGAATTCGCAGTTGAGATCGAAGGTGCATCTCATGAAATCCGAGTTGGCGTGCCGTCTTTCAATGATCGAACTCATTATCTCCGAGTTCGTCTACGCAAAACTAGCAGGAAATTGGCAGATTATGCGAAAGTTAAGAAAGAATGCGATGAGCTTGCACACCGAGGAGCGAGACATCTTGCTATGGGTGGTTTCGGCGTGCTTGTGTCGTGGTGGGGTGCTATCTACTACTTTACATTTATGACATCTTATGGATGGGATACCATGGAGCCGGTTACGTATCTCGCAGGTTTATCGACTATTATTCTCGGTTACTTGTGGTTTCTCTACCATAACCGCGAGGTGTCTTACAGGGCTGCGCTTAATCTGACGGTCTCGAGACGACAGAGTGCGTTGTATCAAGCGAAAGGGTTTGATTTGCAGAAATGGGAGTCATTGATTGAAGAGGCGAATGCGTTGAGGAAGGAGGTCAAAATAATTGCTGATGAATACGATGTGGAGTGGGATGAGAAGGCTGATGAGGGGAGTGAAGAAGTTCATGATGCGTTGAAGGCTGAGAGAAAAAAGACTAAGAGGAAGAAGAAGGACGATGAAGGAGAGGAGGATGATGAGGATGAGAAGCATACGATGAAGGGGAAAGATGATTAAAGGTGTGTATACTGGTAGACAAGACACAGATGGTAATATTTCGGTTTGCATTGGGTTGGCGCATAGGGTGTTGAGAAGATTTGAATTTATACCATAGCATAGCGTTTAGAAGCAATAGACAGAAACGGCATACGAATATAAATTTTATACATTGAATTACTACTGCACTCTTACTTCCCATCCCACCCAACGGATTCCACCTTACACAAGAACCTCCAATTTCAAGTCCAACCCCAAAAGACTCCCTCATGCACATACATGTAAATGTCATATAAGCTCCGCAAACCCAAGCATCACTTCCGCGAGGAAAACTCCGCCTCAGCTACAAATTCATACCTACTAGGTAGATACAAACCGCGTCGCCAACAATATAATTCTTCTGGCATGCAAATATGACCGACTAGCCAGTTGGGGAGTGGTATCAAGCGGTTGATTTAATCATGCGTTTTAATAAGTGTAAGGAGAAAAGAAAAAAAAAAAGTTTGGCAAGAGGAACGCGAGGATTTGATATGGCGTGGAGAATTTTGGGATGGTCTGTGCGTAGACTAGTGGTTGGCTGTGTGGCTGGGCTGGCTCGGCTGGATAGGATGGGATGGGATGGAGCTAGTAGGAGGGTGACTAAGCGGGGGGTTATTAGGGAAGAATTTTTTTGGGAGGGAGGAGATTTTTCTTTTGCGCTTGTTCATACAACAATGGTATTGAGGATGAGGATGAGATGGGATTTCCTTTGTCTCTCTTTCTGGGAATGAGGATTTGAGGTTCTTGGGGCGATGATGGGTTTAAGAAGGAATTGAATCATTATTTATGTATCGTTCATATCTCTCTGCTCTTCAACTATTATTCCTCTATTCTATACATCCAGGGCCAAATATCCCATCTATCCATCCAGGTTTGTACCTTCTTTTCCTTACCTCCAACCCCCCTCCAATTCTTCTTGCTTGCAAGAAAATCTGCACAAACAAACAAACAAAACCACATATTGCCTACCTCCTGATCGTCTTCGTGGACTTGAGGTCACTTATTTTAAATATCGTTCGTGGGATATAGAACCAACGGCCTAGACAGCCAGTCCATTCCACCCTGTTGGCGTAGAATAGTGCGCTAGGAGGACTAATCGTGACAAACATTCTTGTCTTCATTTCCGTTTTTCTTTTATTTTTTCTCGTGGGGTGATGGAGGGGGAGGGAAGGAAGGAAGTGGCAGAGTAGATAGATGGTGCTTGCAATATAATACATTTTTCATATCAATTTGGATTCTTCTTTATGATCAGTGCTGTGCTTGTCTTGAGTTTACAGATTCTGTATAGGTTCAATATTCTTGTGTGTTCAATATATGGATGTTTGAGAGTGCCTCCAATATATTGTCGACTTGAAAGTTTCAATTGAATCTCTGATTACTTTTTGCTGGGAAGGAAAGTGAGACAACACGGAACAGAGAACAATCACCCTCAACACCTAACTTGTAACTTATGTTTTATTTCGAAACATACAATTCCTGCTGCCGATAGTGTGTATCACCGCGACAGATCTAGACCCCAAACGCCAGCCATTATGAATTGGTTGTACACCCATTATTCCTCTTTATCCATGTCCTCATCAATATCTCCACCAGTGCCAAATAGATCATTCATGTCACCCGCACCCTCCTCATCGCCCTCAAGATTATCCTCCTCTGTGCCCGCTATGATACCTTCCATACTTTCCCCAATTGGCCACTCCTCTTCTCCTTCTTCATCATCCTCCACCCATTCATCTTTCAAACCCCAAGGCACACCCGTAAGAACAAATCTCTCGGCCGGCAATCTCACACCCCATTCATTCTGTAAAACTCTTGGCAGCGCAATTTTATTCCTCGCCTGTGCCGTCTCTAATAAAAACTCCTTGCTCAACCCACCACCATTGCCCGAACCAAATTGATACTGCAACCGGCTCTGAATAGCTAACTGCACCGCGTTTGCGCTAACCTGTCCATCTGCATCTCTGAACCCTCCCCCGGGCGGCGCATCGCGCGCGCGCATCTGCTGTGACACGTAGGCGTCGGAAGAGAGATGTAACGCATCGGAGAGAATGGAAGAGGAGTGACGATATGCGAAATCGAGCAGTTGCAGCGGAACGCGTTCTTGGTATGCGGATACGCCGAGAGAGGACAGAAGCATGTGGATGAGTCGTGCGTCGCGCGGGCGTTTCGATAATCCGTTGTCTTGGAGGGAGGTGAGGGGGACGCTGGGGTTGGGCGCGGGCGATGAGCTCGTGGCTGCGGACGCGGATGGCATTGGTTGCGAGAGGGGCGCAGAGCTGGTTTGTGTTGGGGGTGATGGGGAGGGGTGCCCGTTTTGACCGTTTGTTTGAGGCTGGGAGTCGCCGTTTATGTCGGCCATGATGGAGATGGAATAGGTTTCTTGCGCTCTAGATTATACGTTTTGTGAATGAATCTTTCTTTGATTTCGTCGCAAATGTGAGTTGGTTGAATTGTTGGTCGCGTGAGGTTTTGTCGTTGAGATTAACTTGGGAGGCGTATCTGACTGGGAAACTATTTAATGTTGAGCATCGTAGTTGAATAAAAAGCTGTCGAAAAATGTCGAATTCTATATTGTAATGTGAATATATTCACAATTGGGAGCTCAAATATCCGTGACGCCAATGGGCAATGAATGCAGCTGCATAACCCCGATACAGCACAGACCGCACCTTAAATTTATTTTCGTGGTATCATTCACTCGATTGATTGCCCCTCCATTACATAACCAGTTATTTGTCGGATCGAACTTTTTCTTTCTGATTGTTGACTCACTTCTCTCCAAACTTCATTGGAATTCTCATTGAGTTTCAAGATATTGCTATCGTTATTCAAGATGGATACTACAACTTCACTTCCTTTTCTTCCTAGTGTTGACCTTGGGAATGGTCCTGCAGAATCAAAAGTAGGACTTACAAGAGACCAATTATCTTATCTGGGGTGCGTTTACTTTACAGCGAACAATGACACCATCGATATTCTCCTTGGATTCTTGCAGAGACACGTGGGCATTGAGACTTATGTCGATGTATCTACTATTGAATCTATAGACGACATTGTTATGATTTTAGATGCTGGAGCTCGCACAGTGTTTGTGAAGCCATCACAGCTTCCACACTTGGAAAAGCATACAGACCGTGTTCTTCCAATCATACCACAACCGCAGACAGATGTCGAATTTCCCAACGGAGGATTACTTGCCTTTGTGGACGAAGCCTATACTCGATCTCTGCTGGAAGAATTCAAGACCAAGAAAGTGTCTCCAATCTTCCTTCTACCAACCCCCGAGAGTGATTTCGAATTACTTGCTAAAGTTGCCAAAGATTTCTCTGCCATTCCTATCATACCTGCGACACACTTGAGCATCGAAGCGGCTGGAGAAGGTCAAGTCTCCCTTCCAAAATTGGTTGCGGATTCATGGACTTCAGACAGAGCAGACAAATTGATTCCTACCGTGGTTACAGATGAGAGAGGAGTAGCTTTGGGACTTGTATACAGCAGCGAGGAGAGCTTGAAAGAGTCATTGAAAACCGGAACTGGAGTATACCAGAGCAGGAAGCGTGGATTGTGGTACAAAGGGGCAACATCTGGAGATACACAAAAACTCATTAGAGTGTCTTTGGATTGCGATCAGGACTGCTTGAAATTTGTAGTCAAGCAACAAGGACGGGGATTTTGCCACCTACCACAATCGACTTGTTTCGGTGAATACAAGGGAATTTCCAAGCTTGAGAAGACTCTTGTTTCAAGGAAGGCTTCGGCACCTGAGGGATCCTACACCGCGCGTCTCTTCTCGGATGAAAAGTTATTGCGTGCCAAGATTATGGAAGAGGCAGAGGAGCTTTGTGATGCCAAGGAAAAGAAAGATATTGCTTTCGAGGCAGCAGATCTTATCTACTTTGCTTTGACAAAAGCAGTCTCTGCGGGAGTTAGCCTTGCAGACATTGAACGTAACCTTGATGCCAAGAGTGTTAAGGTTAAGCGAAGACAAGGAGATGCTAAGGGGCAATGGGCCGCAAAAGAAGGAATCACCAATGCATCCACAGCCAAGACCGAAAGCGTTAAGGAGGCCGTCAAGGAAGCTGCTTCTGTACCAAAATCTGCGGAGGACAAGGCAGGACTCAAGAATGGACGCATCACTATGAAGCGATACAATGCTGCAACGACATCAGAAACAGATCTTAAGGAAATTTTGCAAAGACCCTCCCAAAAGTCTACTGACATGATTATGGGCATTGTGAACCCCATTATCAAGGAGGTACGAGAGGGAGGTGACAAGGCATTGCTTGGATACACCCACAAGTTCGAAAAGGCAACTTCACTTACTTCTCCTGTTCTCAAAGCTCCTTTCCCACAATCACTCATGGACCTTCCAGCAGAGACTATCGAGGCTATTGATATTTCCTTTGAGAACATTCGTAAATTCCACGCAGCACAGAAAGAGGACCCATTACAGGTTGAGACAATGCCAGGTATTGTTTGCAGCAGATTCTCAAGACCCATTGAGCGTGTAGGATTGTACATTCCAGGAGGTACTGCTGTACTTCCAAGTACGGCTCTTATGCTCGGTGTTCCAGCTATGGTCGCTGGCTGTAAGAAGATCGTGCTGGCATCGCCTCCTCGATCGGATGGTAGAATTACCCCTGAGATCGTTTATGTTGCGCACAAAGTTGGTGCTGAGAGTATTGTCTTGGCTGGTGGTGCTCAAGCCGTTGCTGCTATGGCATACGGTACTGAAAGTGTCACAAAGGTCGACAAAATTCTTGGTCCAGGTAATCAATTCGTCACCGCGGCAAAGATGTACGTTAGCAACGACACCAATGCTGGTGTAAGTATCGATATGCCAGCTGGCCCATCTGAGGTACTCGTCATTGCAGACAAGGAAGCCAACCCTGCATTTGTTGCATCGGACTTATTATCCCAAGCAGAGCATGGCGTTGATAGTCAGGTCATTCTAATTGCTATCGATCTTTCCGAGAAAGAATTGCAAGCCATTGAAGACGAACTTCACGCGCAAGCTATGGCTCTACCAAGAGTCGATATTGTTCGTGGTGCCATTGAGCACTCGATAACTCTTGTCGTCAAGGACATTGAGGAGGCAATGAGACTTAGCAATGAATATGCTCCAGAGCATCTCATATTGCAAGTCAAGGATGCCGCGGGTGTGGTGGAACTAGTTGAAAACGCCGGTAGTGTTTTCATTGGTGAATGGACACCAGAGAGTGTTGGCGATTATTCTGCTGGTGTCAACCACTCTTTACGTAAGTTTGTCACTCACATAATTGTATGACTGAGCTAATAAATGAAATAGCTACATATGGATTTGCTAAGCAATATTCTGGTGTCAACCTTGGATCATACCTGAAGCACATCACTAGTTCACAACTGACAGCTCAGGGATTGAAAAATGTTGGTGGTGCTGTGATGCAATTAGCTAAGGTCGAAGAATTGGAAGCTCATAGAAGAGCCGTTGGACTAAGGCTAAAGTATATGGATGAAAATAATCTATGATGATTTATATTTAGCGGGTGAATGAATTTAAAAGTTTCTTATTACTTTCTCGCTTTGCTGGCTAGGCTATTAATAATATAACTCGCGCGGGCAATTCATTACCGTACATGGTTTTTGCTACCGTAATTCACTACCTTAAATATTCTTCCATTATCTATCGATTCCTTTTGAAATCTCACAGCAACACATATCCATCTGATAAGTGTTCATATTCATTCTGACCCGAAACCACAACACAACAACTATCAACATCAAAATGGTCCAGAAACGCACTATTGAGGTTGTGATACCACAAATGTCGAGTCAAAGCATTAACTCAACCACAAAGTCAAAGGAAGTGGTATTGAAGACCACCCCAGTGACTTCTCTGGCCACGATTGACGAAGACCAAGATTTATGTAATTCTAACCGTCCACGTCGTACGGATGACGAATTGCAGAGCAAGTTGGATCATGGCAAAATGTCTTCGATTTCTAGCTTGCTGGGGCATTTCTTTTCCGGGGCCCGAGAAGAGGAAAAGGAAAAGGAAGATGCGGAGGTAGTCCATGGCGACTGTCCTCCACATCGCACGAACGATCACCTATTCAACTGCGATGGAGATAATCGCCAAACATCAGCCATTTCTCGCGATAGAAGAGGAGAGGAGATCAAACGAGAGGTTGAGAATACGTATGGAACTAATTTTCCACGTCGATCAGATGTCCAAGTCAGATTCGAGTTGGACAATCATGAGATCTCGACAACCGAGCCCGTGTCTAACGAAATGACTCCGCAGATGACTCCTACTTCTTCAATAGTCGATGGGATGGAGGGAAATCTCATTGATCTCTACGATGATAATAACGATGATGACGATGATGACGATACCCCTCTCCGCCACACAGGCGAGGAATTCCTTTCCGATGAATTCGAACCCTATCCATATCCACATCCACATCCACATGCAAATGCAAATGCACATCCCGCACCCAAACCATTCACCGTCTCACAACATCCGCACACACAAACAAAAGCCGCTGTTACACCTCAGCCAAACCATCCCGCTCATCCCACAAACATCACCCTCACATCTCCACACGCAATTCTCCAGCACGAAATATTTCTGCATACACTCCCACCCCCCCACGCATCGGTCCCACAAATCCGGATCTGGATCGCAAGCTGGTTTTCCGGTAGAGAGATCGCGATTTCCGTTCCATGGGAGGACGAGGATGTTGATCTGCAGCGCTATATCGATTGTATTTCGTGGAGTGGCGATGATATACATCATGGGAGTTGTGGTAGTTTGGAGAGTGATATGAGAGGATGGATGTTAGGGGCGTATGCGAGACCGATTGTGAGGGATATTGAGAAGGCGAGAAATATAGAGAGGGAGAGGAAGTGGAAGGTGGCTGTGGGGAGGTTTGCGGATTTTCTTTATGGTGCTGTGGTTATGGGGGTGGTGGGACTGGTTTTGATGGTTTTTGTGCCCTGTCCTTGTCGGAGGTATTGATTCTTTCTTGCTCGTGGACAGGTGGAATCCATAGCCTGGAACTAGTGCATTTTAGAATTTGCTTGAGATGTCGGTTATTGAGCGATACGAATGTTGCAGATATTAAGGGGTCTCAAGGTGGTGTATCTAAAGGTAATAATAGACAAGAGTTTCTGTCAATTTAGTTTGTGCATCATAAGTGTATTTTACCTGGTATCCATTCAAAAAGAGAAAACAATTCTGCAGAAATGTCAAATTGGGTAATGTATTCAGTGGAAGTATATACATATTTGAAGATATGCTTGAGAAACAAACTCGGCACCTTATTCAGAGATTGAAAGAAAAGAAAGTTTTTAGAAACGCCTCCTGATGCCAACAACTATCTACACAGGCCGTGAAAAAAAAGTATTGTATTGTATCGTCAATCATAACCAAACGAATCTTTTGAGTCAGCTTGTTACAGGTAACAGCCTATCATTAAACCCCACTCGAGCCCTATTAAAGCCCTAAGATATCGCATTTTTAAAAGACAGGCGGGAAAGAAACGATGCCCGCTAAACGCCATCCAGCCCTAGATATAACAGTACATAGAAACTGTCCTACTGTTTATTAAATATATTCGCAGTTTATGAATAGAACTGGCTCTTTTGGAAACTTTCCACTCCAATGTCCCCTGCCTTTCCCGCTACTGCAGGAGGGGCCGCCAGTACCTTTACTTGATTGGCATTGGCGATACTTGAGCTAGTCATGGTACTAGTTCGACTCCCACTTTGACTTGCACTCTTGATTTCGGCGATAGGCTGACCGGGTCGTCTTGCTACTTCAAGGTATACACCAGGAAGGTATCCCATGCGACCATCGCGAGCACGACATCGCCACCATTCTGATGGATTGCCCATAGGATCACTCTTGCTAATCACTGCCACTAAATCTCCTTTCTTGACTTCCAGATCTACACCTTGAACTGCTGCACCGGATTCGGGGGTAAAGTCGTACAAGACACGGCAGAAATCGAGTTTCGAAGGGTCGAGTGGTGCGGGGACAGGCTGGCCATCAGGGCCCATCAGTTGACCTGATGCAAGTAGTCGTTTTTGCTCCTCTTCTTGTGAGGCGGCGAGAGCTTTGATCATCTTACCCATGAGGTATGGGAGACCAAAGGCAGCTGCTATGAAAAAAAGGAAGGGCTTTTTGGATGGACGAGGTGGAGAACTACCGTCTGGCAGTATTTTGCGGCCTTCGAAAGAGGCGAATGCGGAAGGTGTTAAGGAGGTGGCATCTACAGGCATGGGTCGACCTGTGATCTTTGCAAAGAGAGTGCGTATCCAGCGCATCATGGTAAATATTCCTAGGATGGATCCCAGACTATTGCGCAAGTTTCCGAGCTGCTCAGCAACAGATACCATTGCTTTAATTGTCAGTAAAGAACGCTTTGAAGAATGTTTTCATGGGACTCCGCCTACCAAAAAAACTAGAGTGTGTAGCCATGTATGTGCTCTCAAGCATCTGAGCAAATCCTCCAAATGCACCAACTACACTTTCAATTATTTGGAAAGTAGCTTGTGTGCTCTGCGTGAAGCCTTGCGTTAAACTGTTGGGATCATTTGGTCCCATCCCTCCCATATTTCCATACATCCCGCCCATGCCTCCACCATACATAGATCCATAGCCTCCCATACCACCATAACCATAACCTCCCATACCTCCCATTCCTCCCATTCTTGAATAGGGTGATGAGTAAGATCCCATACCTCCCATACCATATGGCGAAGCTCCTACTGCTCCCATCCTATTTGCGCCGTATGGTGAGTATGCAGATGCGTTTTGATTGACGGTGTTCGTAAGAGTAGATGGTCGTTCGGGTATGGCTGGTGCGCCCGAGGTACTAGCAGATGTAGATGATAAGACCGATGGCCCAGCAGAACTTCCCGAGGTAGCAGCAGTAGTAGAAGTCATGGCTAGGCGAAGAAGATCAAACGTTAGCAGGGATTAAATAAGAGACAAATGTTATCTTATAGATACTAACCAGGGCTTGGAAGCGCAGTGCTAACTGCAGCGCCACCTCGTTCCCAAGGTTTCGGCGGTGAGGCCATGATAAATTATTCGACACAAACAATGTCGTCCAGACTGCACCGATGTACCTTCACGGACGGTGAAGATTTTATGGCAGTGAAAGGGATGAGTTTGGGGCGCAAGGTTGATGGATTTGAGAGATGAGATTAAATGATTTCTAATGAGATCCAAGCTCGTGATGGCCGATGAATAAAGAAGGCTAAGCCTGTGATAGTAGAATTTTGCGGGGGGCTCTTTGAATCGGATTGGCTAGACGTATTTGTTCGGTACGTTTTGATTGAAAGCAGATTTGGAAGTAAAATTAGAATGAAGAAATTGATGATCGATTACACCTCCAAAAGGAGCGATTTTTGCAGAATTATTATACAGTCAAAGGTAAATAGGAATAGGTTTGGATGAAGAAAGAAAGAGTTGAGAATTGTGTTGGTTGATTGATTGTTTGAATTCCATATGGAGGTTGGGAATGAAATTCATCAAAAGACGCCCGACGCTCATGCCCGAAATTCGCTTCTGGGCTAATGATAGACCTCGGTATTTCGGTCAAGGGAGTTTGAGTCAGTCTACCTATCCACTTACATGCTAGCTAGCTACCTAGATCCTTTTATATCTTTTCATTGCCTAGGTACGATACACTCCAGATATGTCAGTAGATGATTACATTTACAAAGTACAACCTGAGTGCTGGTAACTTAGAGCACATATCATCACGTTCACATTGTCTACAGGTAACGAAAAATTTGGATAAAATTGATAGAATTCGAATAATACCAATCGCGTTCATTCACATGCCAACTTCGAAAGTCTTCCTCCTAAGCTAATAACTATATGTAGAATTTAAGTCTTTGAAGACTTTATTGCAATTCAGCAAAGGCTGGATGCTCGGCGATGAACTCCTTCCATGTTGTCAATTTGTCCAACAAGATCTAAGTGGGACATTAGTATGAGTATCCAAAAAAAGATGCCTCTAGAAAAACTTACAGAATGGCTCTCGTCCAAAGAATCACCTCCATAATAGCCAAACTCGTTCAACAATCTCATATTCTGCAACAATTCCTCTTGAGCGTCGTCACTCATGCCAAAACCCTTGAGGATGTTCTTGTAGACTTCATGAGGAAGTTCAACATTGTCGGCTCCTTCGCTAGCGGCAGGATACTGTTCCGTGAATTCCTTCAAAATCTCGGTCAAAGTGTAATATTTGGTGGCACCGTAAATACGCTTTCCAAGAACCTTCTCTCTATTGAGAAGGATACCTTTGACGAATTTACCAGTGTCCTCAGCTGTGGCATATTAGTAAGTAATTCTTACGAATTCGGATAGCAGCAGTACTCACCAGCAGCAAGAAGTGGGACAGAAGCTGAAGCTGGGATTGGGAAGGCAAGCTTCCATTTGTTGTCAGGTGGTAGTTTTTGCAACATTTGGCCAGGAATATTGGACATGTAAAATCCGGCCAAATAGAAAGTCGCTGGGATCCCGATCTTTCTGACATATTCCTCAATATGGGCCTTGGAGTCAAAATGTGTGACCTTGGGAAGGGCTCCTTTGGAGACTGTGAGAGACTGGTCAGTTTGAAGTCCTCGTTACAGGTTGGAGCAACGAAAGTCATATGAGAGCTTTGAAATGCCCAAATAAAGATGAACGGGGTAGGATATTAGATTTCTCGAGACATATAAAGCAATCAAAGTACAAACAAGACAATAATGAAAACATGGAATTTGAGCTGTAGAAGAAGGAGTGGCGGGTAGAAAAACTTACGCTCCGTAATGTCCAACAAGGAACTCCAAATGAAGTGCTGAACACCAGCTTCCTATAAACAGATAAAATTAGATTCGGGTTCTCTCACTCTAATGTGTTCAGTGGCCAAGGATCTCATACCTTTGCAGCATCTGCAATTGCAGTTCCTTGCTTCTTCTCTACGTCGGCACTTTGGCTCTCCCAAAAGTTGGTGACGGCAAAGACAGCATATGCTCCCTTCAATGCAGCTTTGAGAGACTTGGCATCATTCAAGTCTGCCTATAGATATTTGTTAATTCTGAACAAAGGAGTGTAGAAGCTATTATGGAACTTACAGCAAATGTCTCAGCACCGAGAGCCTCGATCTTCTTTGCAGCAGGCTTGGTTACATCTCTGGTGATGCCTCGAACTGCCCAGCTCTCCTTCAATTTAGGATCAGAGAGAATGCTTTGGACAACTGAGCCACCTTGTGCTCCTGTAGCTCCGAAGACGACGAGCAATTTCTTATCACTGGAAGACATATTGATTGTTGGTTTTGATGTTGTTGATTTGGGAAAATCGATGGTGTTGTTAGCTGGAAAGAGGGGTAAAAGTGGTGGCACAAAGGCTGCAAGTAAGATTTTAAGAGGTGAAGATTGGATTGAGTCAAGGATATCTGAATCTGGAAATGGAATGTAGTCTTCCGTTCCTTCTTACCTGGAGGTACTTATAAGAGAATTCGAGCATACCTTTCCTCAAGATTGTGCTGCTCTAATAAGCTCGCTCTTCGGTTTCGATTTCGATTTCGACTGCGGGTAACGACGACTGCGGTTAATGACGAATGTGAATGACCTACCTGTCACCCCGCGAATGGCTTACCAAAGTCTTAGCTACCCAACTAGTAGAGTAGCGAGAGTAGCTACAGTGTAGTAGTAGAACTTTAATGGAGATAGAGGTAACCCTTTGACGCTCTTCATAATCCCGAGCCGAGAGGGATGAATTGGCATACGGCGAAGGTCAAGCTGCTTTCTATCTGGAGTCAAAGCCAATTTTGTTTCAATGTTACCAATCTGTTGGAGCATCTCGCTCCTTCGCATTTATGCAGAGAGAACGAAGTGTGGATTGATTAGATAAGTAAGGTGAAGGTTGAAATGCCTCAATTTTAATTAATCATCAAGCTTACAATGTGCCAAGCCTTCAATTGTAATTTATTCTTCTTCTTCAGCATCAAACTTTTCTCTTCAACCAAATCCCACTTATAAGTTATAATGTCGGTGGAGTGCTTTAACTTGACTGATAACCCAAGAAAAAGTATATAGGCGATGTCAAGCAGATGCGGCTGTGGTGTCCTTTGTATTTGTTGTACAGAATTATTCACGCTGATAAGACTAAATGAAAAGTTCAGGGCCAAGCTTATGCTCATCAAAGACTTGATACCTTACATTTTCGGCCCTGTCGACCCTCATCAATTCCCCTCAAGAGATTGAATACAGAGCGGATAATGCGTTGGTAAATGGAAAACCATCTGGAAAGGCAGCACAACGCCGCATGTGCATGTGGGATTTGCCTTGCCTTTCCTTGCCAAGCTCAGCTTTCTCCAAGTTCCTTTGCCAGCTGCTTATCAATCACGTTACTCTATTGGGGCCAAATCTAGCATGCGATGGACCAACGATTCTATTCTAGCAAACCTACCTCACTGACTTCTTCAATTTTCTTGTGATCCCTTGTGCGTACAGTATCTTATTTAATCACTCAGATACATCGGACTTGCCTTATAACCCGCCTCACCTTTTTCGAAGCAAGTGCTTGTGATCCTAATGTAAGAGCATCAGCATTATCACCAATCTGGGGCAGTACGTCAAGGTAGCAGGCGCTTAAAATGCACCAATGAGCTCGTCCATGTAGTCACCTTCAAGCATCGAATTTTTCAGAACCAAACTGTCGGATTTCATCCCCACCATCTTCAATAATTCTTTGGCCAGCAGTGTGTCTCATGGTGCGATTAAAGTTGAGTGCAAGCAAAATAAATATAAATATGCCCGGATTGAGGGTCCTGTCGCCCCTAGCGATGAACGCTATAAGGGGGCCAAAGATTGTCAAAATCTATTGGGTATACACGCTTCGAACTCAAACGCTACCCTGTATTTTCGCGGGTCTGCGTCTAATAACCATGCGTTTATGTGATGATGGTGGTGCAAGTTTCCCATTGAGTAGTGGGGTCGATCAGCGAGGAAGAGCTTCATAAAAGAAGTTGTTCCCGTATTCGTCGCACAAAGCTTTTCCTATTCAATAGCTTGCTTTCATTCTATAATATCATCATCGGTAGATACTTCATAGGAGGTTATTTGTAACTTTATTTCCACAAGCGAAATAAATCACGCGAATCGCAGGAGAACTAAAGTCATCATGACAACTGGAAATACACATTCTGGGTCTCCTACTTCACCAACAGCACCATGGGTTCAGCAGTCAGGTAGAGCTGGTACACCAACTAGTGTTTATTCAAATACCAATTCCCCTACATTAGGAGCCCCATCTTCCCCGACAATATCAACATCTTCCAGTCCGCAAGTAGTTACACCCCCTAGGAGTACTAGCCCAACGATATCTCCCATATCATCAAATACTTCGTCGCATTCCAGCCTCCCTAGCTCTCAAAACCAAACGATACCACCTAAGACTCCAAATTCCGTTCTTTCGAAATGGGGAATTGGATGGGAAACACCAACGATAATTATATCATGTTACCTACTCGGTATGTTTCTCTACATAATTAGATAATTCGTATTCTGATCATTCTCATCTGTAGCTCTCGCAACCGCCCTCCTTCACTTGTTTTTATTCATCTACATCTCAGGTAAAGCAGCCGACGGAAAAGACAGAGTTGCTCCTCAGACGTATATCTCCACAGCGTCTAACATTCTCGCCAATGCTTTCTCATTCTTTCTCAAGACGGCCTTGGCCACATCTTTTGTTCAGTATCTATGGCGTCTTCTGCGTGCTCAAAGCATGAAGATATCCACGATCGATACTCTTTTCGGATTAAAGTCCAATCCTTTTCAGATATGTACAGGGGCTGCTATTCGTGCTGCTCCTGTTCTGTGTGTGTTGTCTATAATGATGGCTAGTATGACAGTTGCAGTCAGTTTCCCTCCCGGTGCTATCAATGTTGTTACAATACAAAGGACATCGTATAATTCGGTAGTGGTTCCAACATTTAATGCATCATTTGTGAGTTTTCATCGAGACCCGAATATCCATCGAGCATTTTCGGCTAAAAACAATCTACTAGATGGGAAATGGTTCTGGCTTAGCCGCTAACCAATATGCTTTGGCTGTGTTATCACCGATATCTGAGAGTGCAGATGGATCTGTATCTGGATTTACTTCTAGGTAAGACTTTCTCAAACTCTGCTTTAGTAATCAACCTCTAAAAGAAATCTCTAGCGGTTTATTAACGGGAAAACACTCCAATTTGCTTCCCCGCCTCGCTTTCCAAACAATGATCACAGGACAAGCATTTGATCAACCTTCACCCTGTGGCGTCAATTGTTCCTTTGTGATAGAATTTGAGGGCCCAACACTTGACTGCAACTCATCCAGCACCAATATCACATCCAGTGTCACCATCAACTCGACGACCTTACATCCAGAATTTACAATCTACTCAGGAAACTGGTCTGATCTCACACTTGCTACGCCTGCGCTTCGACATAAACTTTACAACGGAACCTATACGAATGCACATTGGCAAAGTAGCACATTATCCCTGCTAGATACAGAATTAAACACCGTTGATGCCAACTCCATCAATCAAACCTCGACCTTGAACACATCCATGATACAAGACAACCTCTATTGTACCCCTGGCCGCGCACTCTACACTGTAAATAACACCTACATCTCCAATATTCTCACACGCAACGTCACCACCACCTTTATTTCGCCGCTAACAAATCTTGTCCTGCACACCCACGACAATTCCGTCATCGTGCCTGGCTTCACAAACGTTTCTGGAATTACTAGCGGATACTATTTTGGCAGCAACCCTGCAAATTGGAGCGCTGAAGCTCTGGCCTACTATCGGGATTTGAATATGATGACAATTTTGGATACTATGTTTTACTACCTCGCTGGAGAATTTACAGCGTTGCCGGCTGTTCTCCTTGATAATGATGAGGAAAGGGCGGTAGATGCTATTGATGCCACGGGATGGGGGGAAGATTCGCCAGGATTTGGGAACGCCGACAATTGGAGTTCTGGAGGTATGTTTCAGCCCAATGATTAATCCTTGTCCTTTCCTAATCCCATCCTCAAACTTAAACGCTAACTCATGCCTCCCCAGCTCTTAACGGCACAATCATCTCCCGCACTCCTCTCAACACAGCTTTTACACACTACACCACCAACTCCTCTGCAAACCCCTCCTTCGTCATCACACAAAACGCACTCAATGCCCTCCTTCAAAACATCACCCTCAGCGCCTCTCTCTCCTACTCCCTCTGGTCCACCCCCACCAACACGAGCATGCTCACTCTCCACAACATCTACTCCTTCTCGCAACCCCTCAACCTCCTCCTCCCCTATTTCCTCTCTCTACTCCTCTCCCTCCCTTTCCTCATCCTCGGTCTCTGGGCTCTCGTCCAAAACGGTGTCGCAGCCCAAGACGCAAATTTCACACAACTGCTCTGCACCACTTCCTCCCTGTCCGCACCACCCCCGACACCCGGATTATCAAATAGAACCTCCAGCATGGCTATCCCATCACAGCTCCGAACTCTTACCCAAGCGGCCTGTCTGGGAAACACAGAATCACTATCGAAACCTCTCAAGGAATTGCGTATTCGTTATGGTGAGCTGAAAAATCCGAACGGAAATCCAGGGATGGGAAATAGCATTCCAATAGTGGATATCAGGAGAGCGGGCTTTGGGCTTGAGAACGAGGTGGAACCGTTGGTAAAGGGGGGAAATTATGGTGTTATGGTTTAATGTTTCTTTCGCTCTTTATGAGGAAGGGGATGGATGGGTGGATTATATATGATTTGATGTAAAATGCAGTAGATGTATTAGAAATCATAACTTCCCCAGTAGAAATTAATGAGATAATTAGGATCCGGACGGTAGACTCTGGAGTATAAAGTCTAGATCATTCTACGAATCAAGAATTCACGAATGGACAAGAGATAGAGAAGAAGGCAGAGAGAAAGCACCGCTCTTCCTGGAATATTGTACATACTCAAGAATCAGAATATTTTAATTTATAGATTATATTCTCACGTCAAACTAGTCTGGTCCAGTCTATCTAGTCTTATTTCAATCCAATACGAGAGTTAAAAAGATCCCATCTCATCTCATGCTAAATCTTCACCACATCCTCCATCGAGTCTTATAAACTGGCGCTGCATCGTTGTAGATATGAAGCTCAGGTTTTCACATTGCGATTCACGGAATCTATTGGACCAGAGTTTTACAACCGTGAGTAATCAATCCACTCCTTAATGGTGAGACAGAATGCAGATAGATGTCTATGACGTCACATAATCATTGTCAGGCACCCAATAAACTCACATCTACCTGAATAGTTGGTGATGCTAGCCGAAGCATGCTAACCCATCAATAGCTCTCCTCAATATTGAGTCCTTTAGCATCTCCTTCCATTCAACAATCTCCACTCACCCAGACCCATCCGATCAAATCCCCTCAGTATGACATCCTTAAATAACAAACTCAAAAGCCGCTCCGAATTTCACATCTTATACAAAAATGTATTAGATATCAAGCTCGCAGAAACAGACTTTAACAATTCCAATACATTATAGTAGCAAGTCCGGCTCCTCACTCGCAATATAGCAAGTCGCTACGCCCAAACGGGATATACACATCCCACCGCACTGTACAAATACGATCTCCACAAGCTATGGTATATGTGCATACAAGGCGCCAAACTGATAGCTACAGAGCATCCTGTGTAGAATAGATTAGTAAGCCAAATGCTGCATACAAAAGAAATGGGTGTTCTTTCTTGGAAGAGTGAGAATGCAAAGAAAGAGGAGAAGAGAGATAATCCAGAGTTGGAAACCACATCTACCTCCAATGGAACCATCTAGAGCAATCTTTCTTTCCTGGTCAAAGAAATCCGAGTAGTATGGATTCTCTCTCCAAGCATCCTTACCATCCAGCACTACAATCTAAATATGTTCATTGCCCACCTCACCTTTGTTGGAGTTTGTAATCCCGAATTATACCTTATTGAATTATAGATCTTATACAATACCCTTAAAACTTTGCAGCCATTAATAAATGGAGCCAAAACTTTTAGTTATAATTTCGAGTAACATTTTAGTATTATTATAGACCTTTTATCTACTGCACTAGTATAGTTTTAATATTACGGGTACAAAATCGAAAGCCTCTATATTTTGAATCAGGATTTCGAATCCAGGTTTTCGGAAACAGGGGAGTTGATCCAAAAGGTATAGATGATACCCATTTCAGGATTCAATATAGTGAGGTGGATATTTTGGAAGAAGAGACTTGAAGAGATTAATTGTTGTGGGAACAAAGAGATTACGCCGCTGGCATTGAAAGCGTGAAAAACGATAAAGTTTTGGAGTGAGAGAATTGAGTCTCGAGACGGCACTAAGCAGGATATGGAGTGGTATTATAAGAGAGAGCAGTAGTAGAGTAGAAGACAAAGTAACCTCTATATTTAGAGGTTTGGTAAGAATGATTAGAACTAATAAAAACCTATTCTTATATCTTTTTATTAAAAAACTCATTTAAAAAAACCCATTCAAAATTTTTATCTCCATGTATTTTTTCTAACAAAATAGAGTTTCAGATTCTAACAAGCTCATATTCAAAATCATCTGAAGAATCTATATCTATCAATATTAAGTCTTATAGTTAGAACCTCCTGGTTAAACTACTATATGCCTAAATCATCTAGTCAATTGATGTTGAATACCTAAGTATATATGACTCAAACTTATACCTCGACATCACAAATTAGTCAAGATATCACTTCAGACATGATCTGTATCACAGGAATTTGCAATCGTCAGGGAAAAGGTTATGTATATCATGACACATACCCCAGTGTTATTGGGAAGACACCATGCAATAGAACTATCCTACTGATGTCAAAGGTTCTCATTGGTACGTCAACATACACAAGAATAGAAGGGTATTTTATGAACAAAATGATCGCCTGCTTCCTACCACCAGTCTAAAGACTTTTTTATCATCTCCTCCGCGGAATTTTTCTTGTAACCAATTGAAAATTCCAAATCTAGTTTAAGATTAGGAGATGGCAAATTTGGAGAGTTGATTTCCAGTACTCGTACCACAGATACTCTGAATTTCATCTGTTGTCAGACTCGTTGGGAACTCGTAGCTCGTCGGAAGAACCTGAATATGTATAGTTGAAGTGGCAGAATTGAATACTACGGCAAGTTTCATTGTACTAGAAGTCGGCCGTACAAAATAGTCCGAATCTCCTCCAGGTTTGTTCGTGTGAAGTGTGGACTTCAGGAATGTCGAACCACCGTTCAAGGCTTCTGCGATATCAAATTCACCGCAACCAGACTCCCAACAGGAACAACTTGGACTCCCATATTGGATTGTTCGAGGAATCTGGGCATTGAGGATCCAAACCGAGGGCATGTCACCATTGAACCCGGTTCTTCCATCTATCGGCATGCTAAATTCTAAGAGGAAAACTTTGTTCGCTCCATTGAAGCCATCTATGGGTGTGTCAGTAACGAATAATCTTCATATGTAACACAGTAACTCACGGTAAGCAACAGATCCAGGTCGCACATAGCCGCAATCGTTGTTGCATTCTTCGTCAAGCATCACGACTATCTCTTCATTTGATGGCAAGGTAGCGTCAGCGAGGACTTGAGGCGATGATGCACCTCCTGTGCCACTGCTGTTCACGAAAGAAAGTGAAGCACCATAAGCTTCATCGAATACGCCTGAGCCTTGACCACCACTAATGAAGATAGACTCAGTTAGTGATTGATCTTAGGTATTGGTATTAGAAGCGAGAACAGTAGAAGAAAGTTATTCGCTTGTTGTACTGTAGAAGTGCACATTATATAGCGGGGGGAAATGATCATACTTACTGATTTCCAAGAAATACTAGGTTATCAAGAGTCTGCTCTGCAGAATTATAATAACCTATCCTGCTGTAGGATCCAGAAGCTATAGCTGTGGCTGAGCTGGTTATGCTTGCAGACACTTGAGACTCTGGGGTAGATGTGGTTGTAGATGCTTGAGGCTTGGAGGCAGATGGATTTGTGGATACTTGGGACTGAGACAACGCTGTGCTGATAGATGGAACGATTGAGGTAGCTAGGTATGAATGTCAGCCGCATAATCAATTCAATGAGGGATTTCAAGTTCGTACAAGTCTCCTGGGCCTCTTCGCTTGTAGTTGCGCCTTGAGATACACTTTGAGGTACGGTAGTAGATGTTTGAGATACCATTGTCGTGGTACTTGGTCCAAACCAATTGTTGATCCATGTTTGTATTTCACCATTTATTGTAGCAGTAGCCGTCTTCGCATCACCATTAGAAGCATCAAGACCTGAGGTCGGATAATTATCATCCCACGAGACAAGTTGTCCATCAATAGTAGCATGAATCTTATCACGCTTCTGATTGCCTGCCCTAGCATGTCTATTTATATGCTGAAGATGGCGACGCCGTCTAGCGGTCGATCCCTCACGCTTTTCCTTGCCAGCCATAGTGCCCGGTGTATATGCTGCGAACTGTTTCAACTGAAGGGGCCCTGACAATTTTGTTAGATCGCATTGAAAGCTAGACTAGAATTCTTTGCAATTACCCCGAAAGTGAAATGAAACTTCTTCGTCTAATGGAGAAAGCGGACCAGAAAATGACTTTGGTGTAGAAGAACAAATTCCATCCGAGGACATATCGGTAACTTGATTGTAAGTTCCTGGTGCGCCGACATTGCTGTACAAGATAGCATCCACGGGATTACAGTACCAATTTCCAGAGACCTCAGAACAGCCACTGACAATGGATACTGCTGAAGATAAGATGTAGGCCGTAGCCAAAATGCTACTGCGCATGGTTGATCTTGTAATGTAAAATATAAGGTTCTTTTTTTGTCATTCGCATAAGAGAAATGGATAGTAAGTAATTCTTGCGGTTCGTGAGACAGATTTGAGTCTTTGTTTGAAAGGGAGTGTTTGGGTTGAAATCTTCCAGTTCGTATTATGAAGAGGGCTGAGAAGTTTGCGACGGCGTAAAGATATATTAGGTATTGAGGAGATTGTGTGATGTGAGTTTCTTGGTATGACTGTAATTTATTCCTCTTGATTGGATCGTAACGTTCGTGAGTGGTGAAGTAGAATGAATCAATGGATGAGTGAATGACTGTTGAGAATGGATGATATGAATCGCCGCAGAGGAATAATCATGTAAGTCGTAAGAAGAAAGGTACCCAAAAAGAGCGACTGGAGTTAATATGTAGGTGAACCAGAAGAGGTCGAAAGCGAAAAGCAGGTAAATTGTGGTTGAAGTCAAATTGGAGTGAGAATGAAGTGAGAATCTGGAGTGAAGTCTGATTCTGAATGAATAGTCGTGGATTGAGGTACCTTAGGTTAGTTTTGAGAGAGAGACAGTTGAAGACAATTGATACGATGAAAAAGGAAACAGACAGCGAAGCAGAAGGATCGTGAAGTGGATAAGACAAATTTGTTTGACGGTAGTTTGTGTTATAGTAAAGAAAGGAAGGAATGATTGAGTACGAACTGCCGAACAGGCTAGTAGCTAGTAGATATCTATCGGGAGGATCAACTCTCCTAAGAAGGAAGAAAGGAAAGAGGGTTGAAGTGAAGTCACAATCGTACTTGGTTGGGTGAGGCTGATGGAGAGGTTGAAAAAGAAGTCTAAAAATAACCCAATTTTAATCATCACCATCACTAGCATCTATACCAGCAACAGCAACAGCAACA